TCTTTGCGAGCGCTTGTAATAACAGTAAACGTGGCCTTATGGATGTAACTCTTTGTTCGGTGACAGAATGAGACACCTTATACCCTCTAAACATTTCTGATTCACGTGACAAGATTGTCATAGATGTTGGAGTATAGACCTCTTACTTTGAATAAGATCACAGACAACTTTGTAACTAAACTGACAACACCAACCAATGAAAGAGCCCGCAAACCAAGAACAGCATCGCGGTATAACACACAGACAATTACAAATGAAAGTGTAGATTTAGAATTCAGTCATAAACTAGTTCGAATAAATCTAGGTCCAAACATAAAGGAATCAAATAGTGTTATATTTTCATTAACAAAAGCAAGGGAGACAACTCCAAGAAAAACTAGAAGGAATACGATACACCCAAGAGACGTCCTTCCTGTGTTGAAAAAAAACTAAAAAAGCCGTATATAAAATGTGTTAAAATTTGGAGAAAAGCGAAAAATCACAATAATATTATAAAGTCGAAACAACCACAGAAGACATGTCCTGGTCTCAATAGCATTTTAAATCATACTTCAACCCTAACCACATTAAACATAGGATTACCACAGAAATAGAACATTTACCAATATTCATCTAATCATTACAAAGTTCGTCTCTAAACATAAACTATAATGAACCTACTCATCAGGAAATGAAGAAAACTATTTAAAAAGAAAAGGATCCGTACCTTTATCCAAGGGTATTAGCACATAAGTAAATGTAATGAATTCCAGTCGAATCCATTGCATTCATTTACGTGCTAATACCCTTGAGAAACGTATGAATCCTCTTCTTCTCCCCGGCTATGGGTAAATAGTAGAACATACCGGGCTTTATAGCCTTCGATGGCAACTGGTCTACCACAGAAAGAAATGGCAACCTACTGCAGGAAAAAAAATCTGCCTCGTCAGTCATGTATGGAAAGATACATGATCGCATAGCGTGTATCACGCATGACACATAACTGACTAACTGATTGATTTAAAAACTAATGAATAATAAATCATGACTCGACGCTTCAGGCCAAACTTTTAAATATAACTTAATTTCACCCCGGTCTCAATATCAAGATTCTCTGTTTTATGAGAGAACTTTTCTGTCTGCCTTCAGAATGGCTGACGCTAGACACCTGGAGAGTAACCCACTGCGCCATATTAGCTTCACGTTTTCAACTGATTTGAAGTGGAGCGACGTCATCGAATCAATAGTTGCATTTATTGCAAGGAAAGTTGGGTCATTGTGTCGTGCCACAAAAAAAATGTTCTCTCCACGGAGTCCATCTTGCATAGTTACAAATTAACCATTCGCCCGTGCATTGTATACTGCTGGGATATCTGGTCAGGTGCTCCTGCTGTTCATCTCGATGTTCTTGCCAAAATCCAAACAGGGATCTGTAATGTAATTTGATCCTAACATGGCATCTCGACTTCAGTCATTTACTCACCTATGTGAAGTAGCTTCTCTTTACCTTTCCTACAGATATTTTCATGGCAACTGCTCTGAAGAGCGATTTCCCTGCATGATTTTAAGCCTGCCACAACATTGGCATATGGGTCCCACACGTTTAGTATCGAAATAGATAAATGCAACCGCCACTTCTACTACAAAATTTTATTTTCTCGCACTTCTCCATTGTGGAACTACTCTCCATTTGCTTGTCTCCCTGATAAATAGAGTCTTCAAAAATTTAAATGCAACGTCAATCGCCATCTTCTGTCTTTTTAAACGCTGTTCATATTTTGTCCTTTCCTTAATCATCCCAATAGTCAGTCTTTTTCACTTTCAATTCCTGCAAGCTCCTGTATACTGGTGTCATTCCCGCCAAACTTGAATGATTAAAAACAAGGAAGATACTCAGAGAATAAAAGCTTTCTCTTATTTATCCTACTCCATGTATGTGTTTGTGAATGTCTGCTCTTATCGCGGGAGAAAAATGAAATTAGTGAGTCCGATGTGTTCGCTGTTGCACAAATGGTGTTAGGATAAGTATGAATGCTTCAATTCGATCTCGAGCGATTATCCAAGGTGTATAATTGAACAAGATAGTTTCCAAATAAATTCGCTGTTTTTTTTACATGACATTCTAAACAACATTTCGGAAATAACAATGTATTCGGAATTTTTTAAAATTAAATATAAGCTCTTTTATTTCTGTATTACTCTATCTTGGTGTGAGCTTTGTTGGCTTTACGCATGTATCCGTTTTCATGTCATATATTTGATGATTGAAAAGTTGCCGTCTAATCCTTGCAGACGTTTCTAGATCAACCTTCCCATGATTATTATAACGTTGATTAAAATATTCTGTTTAGTTTGATTCTCACATGATCACCCATATTGTTTCATTCATCACAACAGACCTAAACAATGATTACGTATAATGATTCTTGAATTTAAAACAAGATCGTTGAAGAGAGTTCCACACACGAGAAAAGAAACTATTAAAACAGAATCATTTTCCCTCTTGTCCTTTATCGATTGTCCGTACTTCCTCTCTGTGACGACCATAGGAAGCCGCTCGAGCGCTCGCTATCCTCCATCTTATGGAGGGGACGTGGGAATCGGGTCGACAGAGAAGTCTGTGCACAACGTCCGTGTCATGGGGGGCTGGGAATGCCACACTTGCTGAGCCACAAACGCTCTTCGAGGTTGGCTTTCCTACGCCGCGCGTTGACAGGTGGAGATCCGATTATTGAGGGGATTGTGAGGGCCGCTTACCTCGCCTTACCATCAGTTCCCCAAGCTCGCGGGTGGAGCGCCGTCGTAAACCCCGGGTTCAATCGGTTTTCTTTCGCGAGTGTCGGTCGGCCTTGTTGGCTGTCCCTTAGTCCAGTGACCTTTCTCGGCCTAGGAAGGTCTTCTATCGTTTGTTAGTGGAGGGGTCGACTTGTCGGAAGAGGAGTTTCGCTCTTACTGGTCTTGGGCGCCAGCCACTTCTTTGGTTATCTCAGTTTAACCCTGAGTTTTGTTTTACCTGGCGATTGGCTCGGAATCGGCTGCCTCTCAATGACAAGGTCTTCATATGGGGTTTGGCGGATTTGCCAGACTGTGAACGGTGTGGCCTTGGTTTAGAAGAAACGGCTTCGCACGCCTTCTACCATTCTCCCGGGTCCGCCCCCTATGGGACCGTGTCGGCGATTTTGAAAGCTATATGTGCCCATTGATCGCGTATACGCGTGTGACAATGTGTCGCCCCGTATTCCGGGGTGAAATGGATGGTGTTGATTCACGCTGCAATCCACGGCTCGAATGGTGATTGGACGACGCGACAGGAGGGGATAGTCTTGAAGACCAGGCAACCCTCTTTCTCATCAGGATCTGTCCCGATTTTTTGAGCATCAGCTCAAGATGAAGATTAGAACTGATAGAAAACAATTGTATTCGACAGTCTTCTAGAAAAAGGTGGGTGAAAGAGACGAGCTTGGTTCGTTTGAACGGGGCTAGCCTTAATTTTCTCATTTAGGTCAAGCCTACGTGACATGGGATGGTTTCTGAGGAGCCCTCCCCCCTGGTTAGTTTATTAGACAAGCTTTGGTGTACCTAGTTAATGTGATGAATAAACGTTCTTCCGTAGTTCCTGGCCGCAATTTTGGTTATGATCCAGTTTGAGATTCCCAACCTCCCAGTTTGCCATATTTTTTTTTGTTCGAAAAACCTTTTATCTCGTCTGGGTCAGCGTTATATTCTCCCATGCCCGTACGATTTTTCTTATCCGTTCCCCATGGACCCTTAGTGAGAGAGAGCTTCTTGATTTTGTCCCATGGGCAGAATACAGCGGCCTTTTTGTATTTGAGGGTTGGACGGGCCCTACTAACATCAGTTATGTGGAAAAATTTGACTTATGTTTATATTTTCAGTTTATTATTGGGTTCATCTCCTCCCTCTCATCCCTCATCACGATTTTTTTTATATGTATATAATTATCATTAAATTTTTAATGGCATGGGGCGCGTTTTTTAGCCCCCCCGCCCTGTGAGGATGTGGTATTATGGTGTAAGGAGGATTGATTGGTGATGGATGAGTTCTTGTGGTGAGTGGGCAAATTGTAATGAGTGAATGGGTCGTGAATCGGATTAGCTAGGTATAGGATAGTCAGTGAAGACCAGCCTCAACCCCTCCACTCTTCAGGCCTTGTGCCACAATTGTATTTTTCGATACAATAAATATATAAAACAGAATCATTTTAAAGGATAGGTTATTTTCACTAAGGAAGATCATTAGTATAAAAATCATTTGCTCTAGAAAGAGGGTTCGTTCATAATATTTCTCTTTGCAGAAAACATTCATTTTTAATTATTTTTCGTATGAATAAATTACAAACAAATCACATGCAATAAAATGTCATCTGTGATAATATTATACTAACAATTCAATTTTTTAATTATGAAAAAGTTTATCCCAAATAAAAGAAAAATCTTTCCACATTTCTAAGACAGATGAATACGCGTACGTTCTTCCGTAGTGAAAATGTCTAACGCAATTTTAGCGAAATATACCTTGAATTGTTTTACTTGTTCGACCCATCTTATGATGAGCCATATTTTATGTGACCCTCTGTTCGAAAAAAAAAAGTTATACATGCTTGGAAGTATATTGAAGTGTTTATATATTTAAAAAAATGGAAGGGAAAAGAGGAACTTTATCAATATCCAGCACATGGACCGGAGATTAGTGTTCGACAGACTGATCAATATATCGATCTGCAAGATATAATGAAAATGAGTCTTTTTTTTTTTTGCCGTGACATCAAGAGCATGACGAGCGACTGCGAATAAATCACATGGAAGAAAATGGAAAAAATTATGAAAAAAGATTTCTTTCAATTTCTGAAAGATTTTACAAGTGTAGAGAATAGATATCGAATGAGGGCTGATCTAAACTACTTAATCAATATTTCATCAGTAACAACAAAGAAAAAAATCCTGGTCGAGTTTCTTATCAATTGCATATATTTTTTAGACATTGTCTTCAACTGCAATATC